CGAATAATGTAGACGTTGTTACAGAAAGGACGTGTCCATCTCATACAACCTGGCTCTACAACAAAGTGGTGACCCGTAGTCTTTCGCGGCACTGCCGAATTGTTGTAGAATCATGCAGAGTAACGAGATGCACCTAAACACGGAAGCTACTGGCACGACCAATCATTACGTCTCTATGATCTCTCTCCGACTACCAGCTTACTGGTAGCGCAACTTTTCGATCTGGTTCACCCAGTCACAATTCGTGCTTTCTTGCATGCGCACGGAACAACGCAAGTACCGTATCGTTGTTTCGGCGCTGTCACCTGATGCTTCCGAAGAAATATCTCACCTGCTTTCCGGACTCCACTCCACCACATAGTACAGCACTCTCAAGGCTGCTCTGCTGGAGTGAACGACGGCATTACAGCGTTCCCGCATACAGCAGTTGCTGTCCGTGGAGAAATTAGGCGACCGCCGACCCAGCCAGCTTCTTCGTCATATGCACCAACTCATGAGTGGCTTCACCACTACTGACGAGATCTTGTGGCGAGAACTGTTTCTGCAGCGCCTTCTTGGCCATGCGCAAATGGTACTAGTCACTGCGTCCACGTTTGATGTCAACGATTTGGGCAGCCCGGCGGACAAGGTCTTGGAGCTGGTTACGCCGTTTGTGTGCAACGAAACGCCGTCATTTAGCAACGTCAGTGCATCTCCACAAACATTATCTCACCCTGTTTCTCCCATCGACGCGCTTTGTGATCGCCTAGAACAACTGGTTTGTGCCGCGGGCCATTACACCACTCCACGTCACCGAAACCACAGCCGAAGCTTTCCGCGTTATAGACGCGCACAACGCTCTCAGTCTCCAACACCACCTGGGATATGCTATTACTATCGCCGTTTTGACAGGACGCGCGTCACAGCCTCCAACCTTGCTCATGGCAGGCAAACAGGCAGGCCGGCTATTCACGGCGACGACTGGTCAAACCCAACCCAAAAGTCGCGTGTTTCACATCATGGACAAAATCACAGGCCAGATGTACCTAGTGGACACTTATGCAGAGGCCAGCATTATTCCGGCTCAAAAATCCGACCGAACAATACCCCCCAGTCTCCTACCTGCAAGCTGTCAGCGGTAGCAAGATTCGCGTATACAAAATGCGGTCGCTGACTCTGAACCTAGGCTTGCGCCACGTGTTTTGTTGGGTTTTCCTCATCGCTGACGTACGCCATGCCCTCATTGGTGCCGACTTCTTAAACCACCATTGACTGTTTTCGACGTGAAACGGCAACGCCTGCTAGACACTACTACACTACTCCCTGTCTATGGTGTGGTTTCGCATGACTCGAACACAATCGCCCCAACTACAACAGAGGCCGATGACCATTTCGCAGGACTTCTTCGAGAATTCCCAAACACCACGTTACCGACTGACCGAACAAAACCCGTGCAACATGATGTCCGGCCCGATATAATCACCACTGGTCCACCTGTTTTCGCTTGCCCATGGCGACTTGCTCGAGATAAGCTCAAAGTAGCCAGAGCTGAGTTTGAACACATGCTGGAACTAGGAAAAATACGGCCATCATCGAGCAATTGGGCGTCTCTTCTCCACATCGTCACCAAAAAGTCAGGTGTCTGGAGACCCTGCGGAAACTACCGTTTCCTGAACGCAAAAACTATTCCCGACCTGTATCCCCTGCCTAACATTCAGGACTTCACATCAGTTCCACAGGCACAACAGTGTTCTCTAAAATCGATTTAGTCAAAGCCTTTCACCAAATTCCTGTTGCTGCAGATGTTCAAAAGACCGCAATTACCACCCTATTTGGCCTGTTTGAGTTCCCGAGAATGCAATTTGACCTCCGCAATGCTGCACTAACGTCCCAGCGGTTCATTGACACGGTCATACGTGGTCTGCCGTTTGTGTTCGCCTACGTTGACGACCTGCTGGTGGCAATCTCATCCCACGAGGAGCACTAGCAACATCTCCGTCAACTTTTCGAGCACCTGTCAGCCAACAGAATCATTGTGAACATTGCAAAAATTGAGTTCAGAGTGTCATCTCTTGATTTCTGGTTCATCGCTTGGACAGCAGTGTAATGAGCCCCATTCCTGACAAAGTGCAAGCACTCGTCGAGTTCCCCAAGCCTACATCAATAACCAAGGTGCGACGATTTCTAAGGCTTGTACATTTCTGCCACCAATTTATTAGGAACTGTGCTACGCTGTTGGAGCTCCTCGACGATTTGCTCTGTGGCGAACCCTCAGAAACTGCCGTACCATGGAACACCGCTGCGGAAGAAGCTTTCCACTCCATCAAGAACGTTTTCGCTGAAGCCACACTGCTGACGCACTACAATCCCAGTTACTCCTTGACGCTCAAGACGGATGCATCCTGTTCTGCACTTGGGGCCGTACTCTAGCAAAAAGTGAACGATCAGTGGCAGCCCCTTGCCTTTTTCTCCAAGCGTATTACCTCTGCCTAAAGAAACTACAGTGTTTTTGGCCGTGAGTTGCTCGCCATATTTCTCGCCGGGCGCAATTTTCGACACCGACTTGAAGGCCGCTCTTTTACAATTTTCACTGTTCACAAATTTCTCACCTATTCAATCGGCCGATCTGACTCACTATACACACCGCGTGAGGAGCGCCAGCTTGGTTTCATCTCGGAGTTTTAAACTGATAAACGCTACATCAGCGGTGTTGACATCGCTCCAGCTGACGCTCTTAGTCGCGCGGATGCCATCACCCACAGTCGCTACAAAACCTCCACCTCAACATCCTTTCCATACAAGCTCCAGGGTCTGGCTGCAGCCCTATCAAAATACACTGATATTGAAGATCTACGCGAAGCATCCACATCACTTCAGCTCGAATACGTCACCTTTGAAGATGAGCCAATTATTGGTGACATCTCCAAGGGCACCCCCAGACCATTTCTAACCAACCCTTTCCGTAAGAAAGTATTCAACGCCTATCGCAGCTTTTCTTACCCCGGAATTCGCGCTTCCCAAAAGCTTGTTTCTTCACGCTTTGTATGACCCGGCACGAACGCCAACATCAGGGATTGGGTTTATGAGTGTGCATCGTGTCAGCGCGCCGAAGTTCAATGGTACCCCGTTCCCCCATCAAAGCTCTTCATGGAACCCGACGAACGTTCCGATGTTGTACATATTCACACCGTTGGCCCGTTACCCCCATGTCAAGGCTCTCGCTACCTTCTGACATGTGTAGATTGTTTCACTTGCTGGCCCGAAGTGACTCATAGGTCCGACTTGTCTGCAGCTATCGTGGCAGCGGGTTTCGTTTCTACCTGAACATCCCGATTTGGCTGTGCGACCACGATTGTATTGGACCGGATTCGCCAGTTCGAATCTTCATTCTTTTCGGAGCTCCTGAAACTTCTTGGTATTTCACGGCTGCGTACAGCGTCATACTATCCGCAAACAAACGGCCTCGTCGAGAGACTCCACAGGCACCTCAAAGCAGCACTCGCAGTACACGGGGTTGCCCCGACAGGTTTGTTGACCACCTCCTGCTCACGCTACTCGGTATTCAATCTTGTTTCAAGGAGGACCTCTCCTGCTCCACTTCCAAGCTTGTTTATGGGACTTCGCTTCCCCTGCCTGCCGATTCCTTCGAAGAAAGCGGCAGTGCCACCCAGCTAACAGCGACAGAGTACGTCGACCAGCTGCGCGACGTCCTTCGACATATTCGTCCGCAGCCTACACGCAGCCAGCCACGTGCAGCGTACATCGCTCAGGACTCAAAAACAGTGACACACGTGTTCATGCGGTACAGCCCTGGGTGCGCCCCGCTTCAACCCCACTACCTCTGCCCCTTTTGTTTGTTAGAGTGCTGGCCTGCTAACTTCATCATCGACATCAATGGGGCACGTGATACAATCGCGCTCGAGCGGCTCAAGCCAGCGTTCAATGAAGCGCCCCCGATCTTAATTTTCAGGCCATGCCTCCCTCCGCTAGACACGAGGTCCCCTCCTCGCCAGCGTTCCTCCCGTCACCACCTCTGCGCAGTGTTCACTGGGATGACACTTCAACTGAGAATTGTTTATTGCACCAGCTTCCTCTCTAAGGGGGGAGCATTCCGTAGCGACGCGGCCACCATCGCGTACCCCACGGTCATAAAAACCTGCAGAGCAGCAATCCAAGCAACGTGCTGCTCTCCTCTCTGTTTTTCCTTCTTCTTTTTCACTCTTGCCCCTTCTGGTGCACTGCGTGCACCTCCTCTATTTTCGACTATCTGGTTGTAAGAATAATGTAGACGTTGTTACCGAAAAGACGTGTCCGTCTCGTAAACCTGGCTCTACAGTGTAACGATCAATCACAGTATTTGTCGAGATGTGGAGATTTCATCATTAATAGGGGATAAATTTGAGAGATTATTTGACTCCGCACTGCAACGTTGTGCTAAAACACATTGGAGGGAAGTCTTAAGCGGTGCTAGGCCATTGCTTAACTAATGTTTTGTCTTTTGTAGTGTATGCTCTCTTCTCCCTCTCTCTTTTTTCCTATCTTTCAAACTCCCTCATCCCTGTCTCCAGGGCAGGTTAGCATACTGCTCGGTAAAAAAAAAACTGGTTAACATCCTTGACTCTCCTTTCCCCCCTGTTCATTCTTTGCCTCATCTAACCGAGTTTAGATTTTGATGCTTGGCTATTGCTAAGTCATGTTGACCTATGTATAGGCTGTTGCTTAAGTTCTAGCAATGTTGAATTCAGCCATGGTCATTCAAAGATCAAACTTTGAGTGGGCCAAGACAATTCCTTGACAGGATCAATGTACTATACCATGCGTTAATATTCGTATCCTGCCAGAACATTCCGGAATCACGCTGTGGCGTTGCCGTGCCTGTGCATTCTGCCCCAGTCCAGCCGAAGCCTGGCATTCTTTCCTGGCATACGCGATATCTTGGTAGGTAAGGCAGAAGTGCTGTCGAATAAAGAATAGTGAAAAAAAGAAACAAATTTTTAATCAAAAGACACAGCGACACTCACCGTATGGCCTCGATCATTTGTAAGCCCATCCTCACGCAGTTGTAGGCGTGGCTTGGCCTGGAGACCGGAAGACCCGACACACAATAGTAGTAGTCACCCAGGATCTTTATCCGCATACAGTGGTTCTCCTGAAAAATATTGAACCTGCACTCTGATGTCCGGCTTTGCACGTTATTATACCGAGTGGAGCAATAAAACGTGCCTACTTGCTTACAAACAAGCAAATAAACAAACAAACAAAAACGATGCAGTAAAATTTGGTGGTCATTCCACTGTCATTCAGCAGCTACTTTTCTAAAATGCCTCCTTTGGTTCATATAAACGAGTCTGAATATGCCAGTTATATCGGCAGATCTTGCGTTGAGCTATTTTGAAAGTGGTGACAGCAGCAGAGTTTCCGCCTCAAGGGCATGTTGTGTTGCGCGCCGGCTTCAATGGCTTGAAATCTGCACTTTCTGCATGTGACCCATCATAATCACGGTAACCAGTGCTATCACACAGCACACAAAAACAAAACACAGAAGCACAGTGCTAATTTTGCAAGTTATTATATTCATACTAGGCGAGAGCAAGTAATCAAGTGCACAATGCAATATGCCACGCGTACGATCCCGATTACGTCCAAGCGTATAGATTTTTATGCCAAATCGGAAAGACAGCGAGCTCGTCGCCGCCGTTCTGAACATGGATATTGTAGCACAAAGTCCGTCCACAACCTTAGAAAAGCCAGAAGAATACAAAAAAATAAGCTTCGTATGGACAAGTTAGCCTCTAAATGATGGAGGACATTTTGTCAGACAACAAAACCCCCACAAGCCCCTACCTCACATCTACAGAACGGTGAGTGGTCTTCATTGAATTTCTGAACAGCATTTTCCATTGCTAGCACTGGCGCTTTCTCAAAAGCGGCGAAACATTGATGTCAAAGAAACTTTTGTGCAAGGATAGAAGACCAAGATGTCCGTCTACATGTTATGGCCAGAAGTGACGTCCCCACTTCTCGTGACAGCCACATGGACTTTCCTTTAACGATAGAGGAGCCCTAGGTGGCACTGGCCTTATACAGGCGTTTCTCATTACCGGGTCCAGACGGTATTTCGAGCCCTGAGCAATATGGGTATGGCAGCGCTAGTAGAGATGTTACGATTGTACAGCGCATCCCGACAAGAGGGAAGTGTTCTGACGAATGAAGGACACATCGTCTACTACCACTTCCAAAGCCACACAAGTATGCACTTGAACTTGCCTAGTACCGACCTACCCCGTCGGCCAGCAGCGCGGGAAAGATAATAGAATGTATGATCCTTCACCGCCTTGAATGGCAGTACCTTGAACATGAAAAGGTTTATACAAATTCCATGGCTGATTTTCGACGTGATCGCTTATCTATCGACAACGTAATTGATCTCGTCACATACGTCCAACAGCAGAAATTTCTTAAGCGCTTGTCCGCAGCCTTGCTTCTAGACGTAAAAGACTTATAAGAAGGCGCGGTACACGCGACCATTCTCGATTCCCTCGAGATCGTTGGCTTGGGTGGTGGAATTTTTTGACGGATTACTTGCTACCTGAGAGCAAGATCATTATTTGTATCAACGAACGACTTCTCCAACACATGGCGCTAAACATGTCAGGGCGTTCCTCAGGGCGGAGTCTTAAGCCCTCCTCTATTCAATCTGGCGCTTTAAAGTCTTCGGAATATTTTCCATGTACGTTCGCGATATCTATTTACGTAAACAACATATGCGTCTGGACATCAGCCGTCACACGACCCCAGATACGAGTGAGGCTTCAAAAAGCTCCAACATTGACAGCGAGCTACCTCGGCAATCAAGGACGGAAAATCTCCCCGGAAAAATGTTAAGACATGCTTGGGTTAGTTGGTGATTGTGAATCAACATATTTGCACAGCGCAAGACTACGAGTAGTCTCTCTCTCTCTCTCTCTCTGATACCACTTTCCTTACTTTTCGGTCTCCCATTCCCCTTTCGCAGTGCATGGTAGCAAACCAGATACTTGCTTTCCGCTAAACCTCCCTGCATTTCTTCATACCATCTTTGACAAGCCAAGACAAACTGTGAGAGCCTGAGCTTTTACAGTCTGTAGAGTACATATTTGTCTTACAAGTATCAGTCAGTACGGGAAGACTACATAGCAAAATATTGAGAAACAGTGACATGTACAATTCCAGCATTTCTTCCACTGACCTGCCTCAAGGTTTTTTACACAGGAAGTAAAACAACTGGGAGATGGATGTCAGACCCTGTTTTATCTGAGGCACATGCTGCCTCGAACGGAGGTCTCTGTCTATGAATATACTCGCAAGTTTGTAGGTTCGGGCAAAATATATGGTTCGCCCTTCAATAGAAATATCATAGTGCGTCATTGGCTTGTGTGAACGCCACTGAAGTACATTTTCCCGCATATTTGCACAGCGCAAGACGACGTGTAGTTACGACATAACTACAGAAGAAGAGACAAGGACAGAAAGAGCGTTCTTTCTGTCTACTTTTTATAGATATCTGGGATCGGTGAATCTATAGCCTTTATTTCTTAGAGTGCCGGTGGGAGGATTTGTGTGAAGAAGTGACAACTCACGCATGCTCTTGTGAAATCAGGATCGGACCGGGTGCCGGTGGCCTCGATTTACATTAAAGTTTTTGATAGGAGGCTTTCTTTCCTACATGCAATGATTATCCCTTTTTTACTGCGTGCAGCAAGATTATTCAAAATTATTAAGTTATATACTGCTCAGTGGATTCATTCGCTGATTTCCCGTTTTGCTTCCCAACACTATCGCGTGGCGCGGGTATTCACAAGCTTTAAGCTGAGCGCTTTTGCGCACATTTATTCCGCTTGCGGCAACGGCTGTACTGACACTGCCACTTCTGAATAGCTAAGTGATTTCTCCCTTCTTTCTTTCGCACGAACAGTCTCGCGAGTATGGCTCCCGCTGTGCTGGCGCTAGTTGCAGCTCTTCAGCGGCGCTCTTAGAGCTTTAGTGATGCTCAGTGTAAAGCGCAAGCAAACGCATTTAGGCAGTTGACAGAAGTGCCCATTATTCACTTGATGTGCCATCTGTATGTGACGTGATTGAAGAAAAACTAAATAAAAAGAAAACGAAAATCAAACGTTTTTGGGAAGATGTTTTCTTTGTCATTAGAAACATTTTGTGCCCAAACATGTCTTGTAAGTATTATATTGTAGCATCGATAACTACAAATTCTTCTTTCATCTTTTTTGCATCGTTATAACAGCATGACAATCAGTCAAAAATGCAGCACATTTTTATACGGATGACTGCTAAACTTTTCAAGCTCAAGCCATATCCGTAGACTGTTGAAAAGTATATTCCACTCGTTCCCTATAAAATGAAGTTGCTGCGAATTCTCAGAAAGAAATTATTTAAAGCATAAAAAGTAAACAAAAAAAGTTAAATACAAAGCTAAGAATATTTAGTATTCCCAAATATGTCGTGGCAAAAGCTAAGAATAAGTGGCTACGTAAAACAATAATAGCAACGAACGTTGCTCTGTTCGTCTCGAAACCAAGAAGGCGTCCTTAGTTCCAGATGGCGGATACCGCAGAGGTGGTTTCGGAAATTTACTCGTGTTTCCTGCGAACCGAGCTTTGAATTTTGCAACTGAAGTTACTTTGCCGGTATAAATAAGTCAGCTTGCACAATGCTTTGTTTGGCCATGCATTCTGAAAAGAGGAGTCTGTAGTGGGTTCGCACAAAATTTAAAGCGATCAATGGCAAACAGATGGGATGCAGTATCACATTAGTTTTTTATCTATTTCTCTACATCTGTTTTTTTACTTATGTTAGCTATCATAATTGATGTTCAATGCAGTCCGCTCTCCATCTTATTTGCGAAATTTTCAGGCAGACTGAGCAAAAAATAGTTAAAGAAATAAGAACTCATATCTGCATCGCTACTATCAAAGTTGGTTTTTGCTGCCACGCATCGCCTTAACTGATTTCTTATTCAAACAGTGCAATGTTATCCGCGGTTCGTTAATGCAACGTCGTTTTTTTTATTCTCGAGAGTAACGGCTTTTTCTACGTTCCTTGCGAAACCATAAACCACATGTTGAAGAAAAATGACTCAAACACTTGTTTCAGAACTTCTGCAACCGGCACTATACAGAGCCATTTTTCAAAGCAACAATAACGGAGGTATATACCGATGACAGGCTAAGGAACCCTAAAAAGAGCGTCGTTTATTTATTTATTTATTTATTTACTGACAATGACTTGGAGGCTACTTTTTGCACGTGGGGAGAAAAGCCAATACGCAAGTGGTGTGACATGAGTAATATCAGCTGATTGTTGACTTGAGCTAACGCTAGTGCAACGGCTAAGATATATACAACCAGTGGTTGCGTCCCAACCATAGCGTTTCTTTCGTGGACATTTCACTATAGTAATCAGACATGCAGAAATCCCTAAGGTATGGCACGTTCAGACGCAGGCGGGGTTTATATTTCCAGCACAGTTCTTGTATAGACTTGCTACAGACGTTGCTTGCTCTAGGTCATTTTGGGTCGTTTGAATACACCTCTCAGAGTGCTTCTCATAATAATCGCCGATTGCCAATGCTGAATAGGGTGATTTTTGTGTCAATAACTTCTTTGCTAAAAATTGGTGCGAGGACACTGGTCTCTTGAACTTTTTTCCCCGCTCTAAATCTTTGCGTCGCCTTTTCAAAATAGGCAGAGCATTGGGCTTTTGCATTTAAAACCGGACTTTCCTTCTTGTGCATTCTTCCGGTGTACCTTCTGAGTTTTTTGTGGCGTCTGCCATTTAAAAAGCGATCCAGTAAATCATCTCGCTCCCGGAGCACTGGAAACGCTCCCAGACATAAGATGAAGTGCGTGTCTTTTTAGCTTTCTCACGTCAAAAGCGGAAAGATCGTTTTTCTTTGCATGCATCCACCGTGTGAGACGCGCTTTCTTCAAAGCAGTTCATTTTGACACCATTCAAATAAAATCAACTGGCCCGAGCACCTTTAACGTTTTTCTTCTTTTCTTTTTGATATTTTTTCTTGCATTTACACGACAGAATATCCCACCGACTGGACACTTATGCAATCTCAGCAGCTTCGCCTAGCGCAAGGCAGCCTCG